ATATGTGGAGGAGGCACTTCAGATATATTTGCTGTGATTGTGGAGCCTTGCAGTATTCTTTTTGGTTTCCTGTTTGCTATGGAGAAGTGTTTCCAAAGACTGTTTAATACATTTGATGATGGATCTTGCTTTCTGTGCTGTCAGTATACACTCAGCTCTGGGCTGTATCTGTTATTTCTGCTGCATGTGTACAGCATTGTGCAGCGATTGCTCCTATTTGACACGTATGATCCCCGGCTATGGGACCTGTACATGGTGATGGCAGGGGCAGATAGTATACAGGGGGGTGGGGGGCTAGGAGGGGTGAAGAAAGTCCAATGGAAGTTTACAGAGCCTGGAAGATTAGTTTTAGACTTCAATAGGAAACCACAGGAGTTATTCCTTCAAAATACACAAACTTATTTCAGCTGTTTTCAGGGCCTTTGATAATAATTCCACTCCAACAGAAACATTTGTCCTAGAAGAAATTAGAAACAGAAGCCCTGTATTTCCCGATGCAGTTTAATAGGTGCATATTTTTATCCTCATTTTCCGAGAGAGAAAACAAAATCAAACTGTCTATTGGGTCATTTGTGAGGATAAGGAGCAGGCTTACAGTATCTATCTATCTATCTATCTATCTATCTATCTATCTATCTATCTATCTATCTTTGTCATATATTTCTATCTATCTATCTATCTATCTATCTATCTATCTATCTATCTATCTATCTATCTATCTATCTATCTATCATCTATACAGTTGTGGTATTTGAGGGGCCACCCTGAACAATCCTTACTAAGGTCCAGCATGAAGCCACAAGCAATTCTAACACACATCTTTGATAATCTGAAATGTCCCAGTGTATTATAGATAATTGTGTCTGTTATTTATTGTCAGACATGTGTTAGGGGTCTTCCCAGGCTTAAGGAATGCCAGATAATATATGGCAATATTAATCTGAGTGTGTGTGTGTATTGATATGTTTACTTTAGTATAGTGGGGATATATCTGTCTGGTTTTCTATCTATCTATCTATCTATCTATCTATCTATCTATCTATCTATCTATCTATCTATCTATCTATCTATCTATCTCTCTATCTATCTATCTATTATCTATCTATCTATCTATTATCTATCTATCTATCTATCTATCTATCTATCTATCTATCTATCTATCATCTTGATGGCATATGTATGTGGCAGTATGTGTATATAGATAGTTTATGAGGGTGTACAGCACCAGCAAAGGAACAGAATTAATTCCCAGATGTGTTCCTGACAAGAACTAAAAATAAACAGGAGAGGGGTTGCACCCCAGAAAGCCTTACCAATTTCTCATGAAATACCATGTAAATTCAGCAACATTTCAGGTACCCCTGCATTTTGTCATTGCTGTGTATATAGCTCGCCCAGATATATCCATTGCAGTCTTCCTCCCACTATACGTCTACCTGTCTCTGCCCCAGTGGATTTAGGCAGTTTGGGCTTGTCTTCTATTATTGCCATCGGTGTCCCTATACAGGCACTAGAAGGGACAAAAAGTACCAAATGAGCTGGTCAAACATTTGTACAACTTTTCCATCGATGACAAAGGAGCCTCTCCATACACAATCTACACTTGGAGATGAACTTGGGGGACAAAGGAAGGAGAGTCCATTGAAACTCACACTTTGGCTTTGCTCAGACAAAGCTTCAGCTAGAAGCAGCTTGGGCTGGACAAAGGAGAGGCTGCCTTTTTTATAATTCAGGGAGAAAAGAGTGAGAAAGCTGCCCCACAAAAGCCTCAGAAAAGACATTATGGGCTTGCAATGAGGGATGAATAATTCAATAGCCACTGCTACTGAGAGTTTTATGGACTCTTTACTGTGAAAGAAAAAAGGCCACTTTTACCTACAAAATGTCTCTGGGCTTGCAGGATGGCTGAAAGAAACTTACTGAACCATTAACCCCTCTAGGCTGCCTCCATTCATCCAGGACATAGATGGAGAGATATTGATAGATAGCTAGATAGATAGATAGCCAGATAGATAGCTAGATAGCTAGATAGATAGCCAGATAGATAGATAGATAGATAATAGGATACTTACATACAGATGTGACAAATAAAACATGTCTGAGCATTCCAAGAAATTCTACTATGAATAATGCATTGGGGCAGCTAGTAGCTCCAAGTCCCTGGCGCCCCCTTGTGGTGGTGACAGGCTGGAGGCAGTCACAGGGACTTCGGCTCCATACAGCACCAGCAGACTCTTGATGCATTTTGCAACAAATGGATATCATTAGGAACAATGCAACTAAGTATGAAAGGAAACTTTTCTCGTCTCTGCTTTTGATTTCTGTAGAGATTTCTGAAGCTCCAGAAATAAATGCCACCAGCTTTGCAGGATGAAAATGTTCCTGCCTCAAAATATGACAGGTTAACTCTTTACTGTACTCCTTTAACTTATGACTAATTGACTGCTTGCGTTAATTATTGTATGAATTCACTGCTTTTAATAGTAGTAACATAGATAGAATTGTATCTCTCTCTCTAATCATTTTATATATTATGTATCTTTATATTATTTAAATCTGTGTTATAAAAACTCCAGTGGTGGATTGTGCTAAAAAATATGAGCAGCCACTTTAGAGTTGATTTACTAAAGGAATAGATAAAGTGCACTTAACAAAGGGAATGTTTATTGAAATCATCTTCATGGTTACATCAGTTGCCAAAGTTGAAAATGAATGTGAAATAATAGTAAATAAGGTGAACCTGAGTTCATTTTGAATACCCAGTGTGAGGAACTATGATTTTTGTTAGCATCATTGGTTGAGTGAAGTTATCAGCTTTAACTTATTAACTAAGCTAAGTAAACATCCACTTTGCTGAGTGAACAGTTTCCTTTAGGCCTTATTCACACTGCCATGCTGCCGTAATGAATTGCATGTCACCCCAAAGCATGCCATGCACAGCAATGACAAAAATGCTGCATGCAGCTTTTTTGTCGCCTTTTGGTGCATTACGCAGCCAAATAAAATGAATAGGCTGTCTTAACGCAATGCATTGCAACAAATGTGTGTAATAACGCAGTGTGGCAGTGTAGAACTCTTCCACACTATCGCATTTTTGCACAATTTTAGTCAGTTGAGGTGTGTTGGTCTGCCATAATACAATGCACATAAATGCATTACGCTATTTCTGGCAGCACACCACAATGCACACCCGTCAGCAAGGTGCTTTGGGGTGCCATTTAAAATGAAGGACAGCATAGTGCAATAACGCATGTAATGTGATGCTTGTGATGCTATGGTAATGCTTGCTGTAACAAGTCCATAGTGCAAAAGGGCCCTAAATCAACCCTATAGCTCCACTTCACCATTGCTGTGAATGATTGCTTTTTGTATCATTGTTGACTTAGTTCCCTGGTCATTCTAGTAGCAGTTTCATAAATGTAGAAGCTGGCTCTGGAACCCAGGGTGCAGTTGTAAGGCTCCTCTGACAAGTCCTGTATATTACGAATAGGATGAATTGGAAGAGTCTCTTCTATGCAGTTGTAGGGCTCCTATTCAGGGGCGTAACTAGAAATCACAGGGCCTCCTTCTCCTCCACGATCGCTTGCTGGTCCTGCCTCCTCCGTCACTGGACCCCACCTCCTTGATCGACGTGCCTGCCTCCCCATTGCTAAGACCTGCCTCCTCGATCGCTGGGCCCCGCTTCCTCCATCCCTGCCGACGACGGGCCCAGCCAACTCCCCTGAAGCTGCTGGTTGTCATCGACTCAGCAGCTGTGAGGAGGTACGCGCCGCTGCACATGTGAATGGCTGCATGTTTCTCCTCACAGCCGCCAGTGACAGCCAACAGCCTGAAATACCATAGCGACCCAGGCGGCCCGCACGGCATCAGGGGGATGTCCTGGCCGGGCCCCCATGTGCCCCGGGGCCCCATATCGGCTGCCTGGGTCGCTATGGTGATTGTTACCCCACTGCTCCTATTACAAAGGCCTGTATATTAGGAGTAGGGTGAATTTGAAGAGTCTCTTTTTGCTGTTTTAGGGCTTCAATGACAAGTCCTTCATATTAGTAGGAGAAATGATGAATTGGAAACGTTTCTTCTATGCAGTTGTAGGATTTCTATGACAAGTTCTGTATATTAGTAGTATTAATTATGAATTGGAAGAGTCTCTACTATGCAGTTGTGGGATCTCTATGACAAGTCCTGTATATTAGTAGGGTGAATTGGAAGAGTCCCTTTGTTCAGTTGTAGAA